TTCTTTGGAAAGGCCCGGTAGGCCGTGGAAATGTCTTCGGTACTCGGCCTGTGTTTCTTTCAACCAACTGGCGCGTCGCAACTGCCTGGACCCCAAATATGAAATTGACAGTCGAGGGCCTCTTGCAAAAAGCCAGGCCCGCCTTCACTTAGGGTGGGCACCTCCGCCTTCACTTAGGGCGAGTAAGGCTGCAGACAGGGCCCCGTAGGCCTACCGAGGACACTGATCCTCGCACTTGCTCACACACGTATGAGAACCACGGATGAGGGAGGTGAGAAGAGATGAAGGAGAAAGAAGGGAGACGACAAGAATAGCTCGAAGTACCTGACAATAGTCTCTCCCAGCAATGTCCAACAATCAGCTCCCTAAAATGTCGAATCTGAATCCTGGGCGGTAACAGTCCCGAAGTAGTCACTCTGTGAACACTCTCTCTCTCTACGCAGCCAGGCACGATTTCAAAGGCGCGAAGCACTGCAAAAAGGTCAAAGCACCCTACGAGGACGTAGCATGTACTATTTTTTGGAAAACTTGTCACAGTGTTTTTTTTTTTTTTTTTCCAAGTAAACAGGCCCTTATGGTCCTGGCTCCATATCCATTCTGGGGAGCGTCAGTCCGGTTACTATTCCCCCGGCAAGTCAAAAATGGTTACACCATGAACCCACTCACGCTTCCTTCCGTTTGGCCAAAGGAACCCTGACCAGCATTGATTGCTCCCATTAGGAGGATTGACTGTCAGCTTGCCTTCCCCTGCAATCCCTCTCAGATCCCTCTGTGGGAATCTGTCAAATAAGCTTTAAAAACAAGGAGAGTGGAGAATGGCCCGTAACTTGCTATTTCAACCACCATTAGTGTCTTGTGGCTCATGTATCTGTCCTTATGTTGCCTGTGGGTCCTGCGGGCAGTCCGCAGCTTGTTGTAGTGGGCTTCTCCACCTGATTTCAGAGTTGTGCCAGTCTTTCCAGCGTATGCTGCCATCTCTTATCTCAGCCACTTTTCCTCCCACCAGCCGAACTTTGACAAACTTGGAGAGGATAGTATTCTGCTTCTCATTGTCCTCGGGCTGTGTCTGTTTCATTTTGTGCCACCTGCATAGGATCTCCGCCTGAATCAGTGTCCTCGTTTCTGCCCAAACCTTTTCTCTTGGCGTTGATAAACCTTCAATCGTTCTGCTGCATCTCTCCTTCCATATAGACCATAGCGTGACTTTCCTGATCATACCGTACCATGTCTTCTCTGAGCTGTTGAGGTCTGTCGGGATGTTAGTCCACAGTAGAAGTTGGATGGAGTGTTCAGGGAAGGGCTTAGTAAACAGGGACTCCCAGAGATCCGACGCCCTCGCCCAATATTCCATTGCTTCTTTACATCGGATTAGGCAGTGAAGTAAATCTTCCAGTTCATTTTCTGAGCATATTGCGCATAGGTCGGAACTGTTGGGATCGTTCTTCCTTCTGCGAATGTGGAGCCACTGGTTAACCGGTAGCGCTACATAGGCTATCAGCCATTGGAGACTCCTGATTTTGACCGGCTTGATTGATTTATATTTCTTCCATGGAATCTGTGTGATTTGGTCTGCCTCTTGA